CAAAACAGATGAAAGAAAACATGCACAGACCCAGAGTTGTCGTTTTTTCTGGGTCATCGTTATGCATCTTATCATACTTGCAAAGTCAAATAACATAAAAAACGCCATGCAAACAAAACACGGGTATTGCTTATATTCATTCAACTTTAAGTTCATGGGGAGACGTTAGCAATTTCCCGATAGATCCAACTTTCGAGTTGGTGAAAAAAAAAAAAAAAAAAAAAAGTTGGTGATGGGTGATCGGCCTGGGTGATCCACACTAAGGTAAGACAGAGGGGGTGGGGGTACGCTGGGGTAATTGATCAGAGGAAGGGTGGAGGGGGGTCTTCTGAGGGGGGCTACACACACACACAAAAAAAAAAAATAAAAAAAAATAGTAGTGCTAATAACCAGCCCTGATGTTTGATATGACAAAAAATAAAGAAGAAGAGGAGAGGATATGGTTCAAATTTTCCCTTTTTTTTTTTTTTTTTTGCCCCTACCTGGAAAGATACGTAAAGCGTTGGTAGAAAGGGGTGATCTGTGACGCCCAAAATGTCTCTCTCCGTGCAGACACGATGAAGCTGTACAAGAGCGGCAAAAAACATTTCGATGGAATGAGAAAATTGAAAATGCCAATCAAATTCAGGTTGAACTGTTGCCCTTTGAATTTTCAGTCAATCATCAAAAGACATTTTCAATTTTCCAATGGATTCTCCTTTTTTAAGTTTTTTTTTTACTTTTTCAACTAGGCTACCAGCCGGGCCGCCCGGGTCACCCTATTTTCTAGGGCGGCACGGCCGTGCAAGGACCCGGGAAGGTCCCAGCCCAAAAAAAAAAAAAAAGCCAATCCAAAAAATCCCCCCAAAAAACTATGTTATGCAGAAAAATAAACCGAACATTGTTTGCCTCAGGGTCACATTGAAATTCTTTACCAAATTTAAAATCAAAATTAAAATTAAAAAATAATTTTATTATAGTTTATTTTCGAAATAACTCCGCCCGGTGACCGCTGCACAGTTTCGAATTCGCAGGAATAACAGTCCACTGCAAGTTTGGGCGAGGACCAGTTCGAAACTGCAAGAAAAACAGTAGACTACGCGCTCGACGGCCTACGGGTTCAATAATTGTCAAAAACGGGAGGTGGCCTGGGCTAGTGGTACCTCCCTTTCTCCCGTGGCCTGGCCCGGAAGAGAGGTACCAGTAGCAGCCTAGCAGGCCCTCCCGTTTTTTTTGTTTTTTTTTTCCCCGTTTTTGGATTCTGGCGGGTCTCGGCTCGGGCGGGTAGCCGTGGACTGCTTTTCGCATGGTGGCCATAGTTCTCGAAATTGCGCGGGAACGACTCAGGGGCCATGCTCCCACCTTGCACAGAGAGAGAGAGAGAGAGAGTACGGCGGTTGGTATAGAACGTGTCCCGTTTACAACCGCGGCGTGTTGGGGAGGGGCGGGGGGGGCGCGCTCGCACACACACACACACACACACACACACACACAGAGAGAGAGAGAGAGAGAGAGAGAGAGAGAGAGAGAGAGA